ACTCCAAACTAACCCTTACCCTAAATTTAATTAAAAACAAAAAACACGTGACTGGACACGGCTTTAGACGTCCCCCTGAAATAGTAAAAATCATAAAAAAATTCCCAATTTCGTAATCATGATTCTTCTCAACTTTATTATTAACCACCTTTAAAATTTCATAAGAATCTTCAAATGCTAGAGAATTTGCTAAATGATACCCAGAAAATAAACAAACAACTTCTTTGTTGTTAAAAAACAAAATTTTCCTAAATTTTACATAAAATTTAGGTGCGTCGGTCATTTGACCCATATTAAAAATTGACAAAGATTATCAAAAGCCGCCGGTGTAACACCCTAAACTATAGGAATTAATCTTTAGTTTTAGCCAATTAGAATTGTTGTAAATCAACCAATAAAAAACGAACTTTCTTTATACTTAAAAATACTCTTCGTTTTAGACTACAACCATGACATCAGAAACGTCTGATGCTCAACCAAGATATACTTATACGCCATTCCCACAATCTACAACCGTTCACCCTTTACGACCTTATTATGTTCCTCAAAATACGGATCATTATTATACACCCCTTGGTAATGTCACCAACAGTAAAGTGGAACGTAACCACAAACTAATTAACGAGGAGTCTCAGAGCGCTATAAAAGAAATATTTAGCTTAGGCTTAATTAAATATATTAGTACGGCAATCTCGAATCCGTTTGAGGTTGCAAAGACCCTGCTGCAAGTTCAATATTTACCTAACGAGGACGTTGTACCAGTTACTGTCGAGGGCAACAGCGCTACTTTGGATTCGGACGATGAAGTATGATACTTCTAATATTGTTAATAATTAATTTTTCTTCGACAATTCACACGACACATATAAAATAGGCATCAGACGATGAAGGCATATACGCACGTAAAACCCTTGATTCGAATTCACCAGGCTTTCGCCAACCTAAAAACGCAGATATACATGGTTACATCGATACCGATATTTATGATGAATCGACGCGTCCAGCGTACATGGTTCCTCCACTAGAACATGGTGTGTGGGAAACTGTAAAAACATTAAAAGGGCATTCAACAGAGGGATTAAGGTCATTATGGAAAGGTAAGTTTTTCTTATATCTATGTTAATGATTGTGTTTCTCGGATATAACTATACTTTCAATGCAGGACAATTCACAAATTGGTTATACGAAATTGGTCATGTTTTTCTTCAACCAACCTTCGAAGGTGCATTAAATGACGCGTTTGATTTGTATGATGATACTATTCCTTTGATTTATTTGGACCGTGTTGGCCCCAACATTGCTACATTAATAGTTAGTCATGTTGTAGCTGGTGTCATTTTGAGTCCTTTAGAGGTGGTAAGAACAAGGTATTAAGTCTATTATGTGTTCTATACACATTACCTATATATTTTTTTCTTTAATTTATTACTTGACTTAATAAATTGGTTTTCCGCTTTAGGCTTGTCGTTCAAACTGCATCACCCGTTCATAAAAAATACAGTGGTACTTTTGATTGCTTACGCCAAATGATTAAAGAAGAAGGGCTAACATCTTTGTATTGGTCACACAATCTTGTCCCTTCAATTGTGTTCCACACAATTTGTCCGTTGTTGGAATGTACTGTGCCATTGATCATTGATCGTGTTTTTCATATTAATCCGACTGATTCACCTATATTATATGGACTTGCACAATTGGGTTTAAGTACGCTTCAACTTCTTATCACGCTCCCAATAGAAACGATTCGTAAAAGATTGCATTGTCAAATTGTCTCTCGTGTTCCGGAAAAATCGTTTGCAACCGTTGTTCAAACGCGTAAAGCACCTTATGTAGGTATGATAGATGCCATTTACAGAATCATAATTGAAGAAGGTATCAGTCAAACGTTTATACCCAGGCATGGAAGTCATAGAAGACGCTCAGTACGTAGGCAACGTAGTTGGTTAGATAATTATGGCGTGAGAAGACTATATCACGGGTTTTATTTACATTTCACAAACAATGTAATTCAATTCTTCTTTCAAATTATGAATGGTGTTGAAGATGATTTTAAAGATTTTTAAAAGCGAGCTATTTAGTACAAAAATTTTAAACCATTGAATCTTGTAAGCGATTCCCTTTATTCATATTGACTTTGTGACTTTCTTCTGTATACATAATACTTCGAGATTTCTTTGTTCTTATGCGTAATACGCACGATTTCCTATATATGTAGCACATTAGATCAATTCGCCATTGATAACTAAAACCACTGGCACGTGATCACTAGCCCCATAACATTCACTTCTACAATAAATATATAAAATTTTTAATAAATGCATAAAGATTTATACGACGCGACAAATTAATAAACAAATACGTACCTAATTTCACTCTCGATCACTCTATCTAACAATCTTTTGCTTACAACGTGATAATCTAAGCGCCAGCCAATGCCTTTGGTGCGACACTTAAATCGATAGGAATAGTAAGTGTAACAGCCTTCTGTATCCGGATGCATATTGCGCCAAGTGTCAACAAATATGTTATTTCCTCCATTCAAAATTTTGTCAAATCCGGATCGTTCTTCTATTGTAAATCCAGCAGTTCTTAAATATGAAATATTTGAAATGAGTATAAAATTGAGCATAAGTGCAATAGTTGGTTGATGATTATAATTACCTTTGATTAGTTTTTGGACGCGTCAAATCAATTTCCTTATGGGCAACATTCATATCCCTAGAAAAATGACAATTTATATTACATTGGGTCAGCTGGAGTACAAGTATGTCACGTGATCCGTTAATCTTACAAATCATTAGC